CATGCATGTTGTAGCTAATAACACGAGTAGTATGCAATTATCATTATTATTATTATTATTATTCTTTCTTTCTGTTCTCCTTTTAAGTTTTTAATTTATCTTATTTAAACACAATATATTATGATGAGTTTTTTTATTAACAAGAGATCAGGACCTGAAGTTCCTCGATCCTCATAATGGATAAGGACCTGAAGTTCCTTTATCAAATCAGAACCTAAGTTTCTGTGATTCAAAATAATTGAAGGCATGAAGTTCCTCAATCTAATTGTCTAAACATCCCAAACCAGAAGTTTTGGTGATTATATTTATGTTTACTATATCAACAATTTTTTTCTTGAGCTCTAACACATTCCATTTTCTTTTATATAGAAAATGTCGAACTTGGCAAAGCTCGAATTTGTTGCACTTGACATCTCCGGAAAGAACTACCTTTCATGGATCAATGATGCTGAGGTTCATCTTGAGGCTATGAACCTAGGGGAAACCATTAAGGAAGGCAATGAGGCATCCTCTGTGGATCGAGCGAAAGCCATGATTTTTCTCAGACGCCACATCCATGAAGGATTGAAGTGTGAATACCTTATTGTCAAGGATCCTTTGGCCCTTTGGGGAAATCTCAAGGAAAGATATGGCCATCAGAGGACAGTTATTCTTCCTAAGGCACGCCATGATTGGATGCACTTGCGTCTACACGATTTCAAATCAGTGGCTGACTATAATTCTGCTATGTTCAGAATTTGCTCCAAGTTACGACTTTGTGGAGAGAATATAACTGATGCAGACCTATTGGAGAAAACTTTCACCACATTTTATGCCTCCAATGTGGTTTTGCAACAACAATATCGAGAGCGAGGTTTCCATAAGTATTCAGACCTCATATCTTGTCTATTTCTAGCTGAACAGAATAATGAGCTTCTAATGCAGAACCATCAATCTCGTCCAACTGGATCTGCACCATTCCATGAAGTGAATGCTGCCTTGGCACCATCTCATGAGGCATATGCTACCTCATCACATGGCGACCGTCGTTGAGGACGTGGTCGTGGTAGGGGTACCCGTAATGGTCAAGTCCAAAATAGTAATAGCCACCGCTTGGGTCCAAGAAATACCTAAGCATCTCATAACCACCAGAAGTGGAACAAACAAGACAAGGCAAATGGCTCCCAACCTTCAACTGATAGGGTGATTGAGGAAGCATGTCATAGTGTGGTACAAATGGGCATTAGACATGTGTATGCCGCACATCAAAACATTTGGTTGATCTTTACCAAGCCTCAATCAAGGGCAAAGGAAAAAAGGTTGAGACATATTGGATGGATGCTGATCCAATAGAGTTAGAACCAGTGGATGCAACTCACCTTGATGTTTCAGACTTCTTTGTTGATACTGATGGCAAATCTTTTGATCCTATGATTAGTGATGGGATGCTCCCCAAATGGATGCTGATCCAATAGAGTTAGAACCAGTGGATGCAACTCACCTTGATGTTTCAGACTTCTTTGTTGATACTGATGGCAAATCTTTTGATCCTATGATTAGTGATGGGATACTCCCCAATTAATTTTGTTGAATTTTTTTTTATTTTTTATTTTTCCTCGCTTTATGTTGTTTGAGCGCGTTTGAGCTGATTTTAATTCCTGTTTTTTTCCCTTTCACATGGTAGTTTGGATCTTTTTCATTGAATAAAATCGAATAAAAGACTTCATTTGAATTTTTTTATTTACTTTTTTTTTTCTTCGAATAGCATTTTAATACATATATATTTTCTTATAAATTTGAAGGCATGGAAAACAATCATGGATCCTCTTGTCTTGGGAGAAATGACGAAGATATTTGTCTTGCGGATAGTGCAACTACGCACACAATTCTTCGAGATAAAAAATATTTTCACAATTTACATTTATCAAAAGCAAAGGTAACTACCATACTAGGTTCTGCAAACCTAATTGACAACTCTGGAAGAGCTCAAATTTTGTTACCCAATGGGACTCAATTCTCCATTGATAACGCTTTGTACTCTTTGAGATCGAAAAGAAATTTACTCAGCTTTAAAGACATTCGAATGAAAGGGTACCATATTGAAACTAGAAATGATCATAATGTGGAGTATCTTTGCATTACCAACAATATCAACAGCCAGAGGCGTATATTGGAAACACTTCCTGCTTTCTCTTCTGGGTTGTATTATACAACCATCACAGCAGTTGAAGTCCATGCTATCATGAATCAAAATTTCATTGACCCAACGACCTTCATGCTTTGGCATGATCGTCTTAGGCATCCTGGATCCACAATGATGCGTAGGATTATTTCAAATTCAAATGGACATCCTTTAAAACCTTACCATAGTACTTTGTCCATTGACTAGTCTTGCCATATTCAATTTTTTTTAATCTTTGTTTTTTAAAATTTTTTAATTAAAATAAACTAGTTTAATAGTTTGCATGACGAAATATTTTGTCGCCCAAGGTTTTTGACATTTTGTTTTATTATTTCTCTTATATCAATTTCATTATATTAATTTTTCAAATTTTTACTTTTTCAATTTAATTTAATTGTATGATTTTATTTTTTTTAATTACTTTAATTTAAATTGACATATTCAAAATAAAATTACATATGAAAAATAGTGGTCAAATTATCCAATATATATAATATTCAAAATGTACACATAAATTAACAAAGTACAATAATAAAATCTACAAGCCTATTGTGGTGGTAGTGGCGGAGTATATGTTTCGATAGCGTCCAAATCCTCAACTTTAGCCGTCAAAGTCTCGACGATTCCCTACAAAAAAATAAATATTGTCAAATAACAACAAAATAACAAAAAATTGGCATAAACTCAAAACTAACTCCAAAAACATATATTAATGAAGAAAAAAAAATTAAAGTTTGGAGAGAATATACCTTTTGGCAAGATTTTGAGTGAGTGAGAATGAGAGGGAGAAGTGAGTGTGAGAGAATAGAGAAGATAGTGAGAGAGAGATGAAAGAGTGAGTGAGAGTGAGAGATGATGAAAAGAGAGATAAGAGAGTGAGTGAGAGTGATAGATAGTGAAGAGAGAGATGAGAGATTAAGTGAGAGGAGTGAGTGTGAGAGAAAGGGTAGGATTTGGGGAGAAGGAAAGAGAGAGGAGAGGTAAGAGTAGAAGACATTGAGAAAATGGTGGAGGTGTTGTTTTGGTTTTAAAAACCATATCACTTTGCGCGACGAAACAATATATTGGTCGCGCAAAGTCTCGAATTTTTTTTATTTTTAAAATTCCGATTTTTGGTGCGCGCCCAAATTTTTAGGGTTTTGCGCGACGAAATTTTGGTCGCTCAAAGTTTTGCGCGACCACAATATTCCCGCGTCCCATTTTTGGTACCCGCCCAAATTTTTCGGGTATACTTTGCGCGACGAACGACTATATATTAGTCCCGCAAAGTCGTAATTTTTTTTTTTTAAATTCCCATTTTTGGTACCAGCCAAATTTTTATAGTATACTTTGCGCGACGAACTACTATATATTGGTCGCGCAAAGTTGGAAATTTTTTTTTTTAAAAAAATTCGCATTTTTGGTACCCGCCCAAATTTTTCGGTTATACTTTGCGCGATGAATGATTATATATTGGTCCCGCAAAACTTTGCGCGACGAACTATATATTCATCCCGCAAAGTCGTAATATTTTTTTTTATTTTTAAATTCCCATTTTTGGTACCTGCCAAATTTTAAGAGTATACTTTGCGCGACGAACTACTATATATTAGTCGCGCAAAGTCGTAAAAAAAAATTTTAAAAAAATTCGCATTTTTGGTACCCGCCCAAATTTTTAGAGTATACTTTGCGCGACGAATTATTATATTGGTCGCGCAAAGTCTTAAAAAAATTTAAAGCTACTAATAAATATATATACTATTCAATTTCTTAAGTGTTATACGTACAAAATAAACAAGAAACTAGTTTCAACGATCCAACCGTCAAACTTGTTTGTTTATACTTCGAGATCATACACGCCAAAATTTGGAAAAAATAAACATTAAGAGATCAAGTAATGGGGCAAAACATTTCGACGGTTATAAAAGAAAAACCAAGATTTAACGGTTATTTCAACTCTGATTTTGATAATTTTTTACAGCTACACTCCTTGACCCTATATGAATACAATGACTGAGTTATAAACAAAAAATTCAAGATTTAACGGTTATTTCAACTCTGATTTTGATGATTTTTTACAGCTACACTCCTTGACCCTATATGAATACAATGAACCAATTTGATCGTCAATTTAAAATATAATACATTTAAAATATTATATTTTTCTAACAAAATAATTTTTTATTTATTTATTTTTATTTTTGTAAAGACTTTGCGAGACGAAGTTTAGAAATTCGTCGCGCAAAGTCATGCAAAGATTTTTATAAAAAACGGGAAATTTTTTTTTTTAGAGATCAAGTAACGGGACAAAACATTTTGACAGTTATAAACAAAAAATCAAGATTTAACGGTTATTTCAACTCTGATTTTGATGATTTTTTACAGCTACACTCCTTGACCCTATATGAATACAATGAACCAATTCGATCGTCAATTTAAAATATTTACACTAGTTATATTTAATAAAAGTATAAATAAACTCTTAATTGTTAGTGAATATATTGTTTTGATGGCATACGCAATCTACGAAACTAGTTTCAAAGATCCAACCGTCAAACTTGTTTGTTTATACTTCGAGATCATATACGCCAAAAATCGGAAAAAATAAACATTCAGAGATCAAGTAATAGGACAAAACTTTTCGACGGTTATAAACGAAAAATCACGATTTAACGGTTATTTCAATTTCGATTTGATGATTTTTTATAGCTACACTCCTTGACCATATATGAATATAATGAACCAATTTGATCGTCAATTTAAAATATAATACATTTAAAAAATTATATTTTTCTAACAAAATAATTTTTATTTTTTTATTTTTGTAAAGACTTTGCGAGAAGAAGTTTAGAAATTCGTCGCGCAAAGTCATGCAAAGATTTTAATAAAAAAAAATTATTTTATTTATTTTTGTAAAGACTTTGCGAGACGAAACACATTTCGTCGCGCAAGACTTTGTGCACCGAATTTTATTGTTTCGTCGCACAAAGTCATGCAAAGATTTTTACAAATAATTTTTTATTTTCTTTATTTTTGTAAAGACTTTACGAGACGAACCACACTTCGTCGCGCAAGACTTTGTGCACTGAATTTTATTGTTTCGTCACGCAAAGTTACTTTGAGCGACAATGTTTTGTCGTCGGGCAAAGGTTTGTCGCGCAAAGTGACTTTGTGCGACGATTTTTGTTTCGTTGCGAAAAATTTAGTCGCGTAAGACTTTGAGCGACGAAGTTTAATTTTCGTCGCGCAAAGTCACTTTGAGCGACGAATTGTGTTTCGTCACGCAAAATTTGGTCGCGCAAGGGTTTTTTTTACTAATGTTTTGCTAGGCTCCTTGCTCAGATAATTAAATTACGAGCACAATTTCCTGATTATCCAATAAAGTCAATTCGACTTGATAACGCTGGTGAGTTTACCTCCCAAACTTTTGATGCCAATTGCATGTCACTTGGGATTGAGGTTGAGCACCCAATTCCCCATGTCCATACTCAAAATGGATTAGCTGAAGCTTTTATTAAGCGCCTCCAGCTTATTGCTCGCACTTTGCTATTGAAGACAAAGTTGCCAATTTCTGCTTGGGGACATGCAATTTTACATGGTGCATCTTTAGTCCGCTTGAGGCCTGTTACCCACCACCAATTCTCCCATTTACAACTTGACTTTGGGAGACAACCCAATATATCACATTTAAGGATTTTTGGTTGTGCAGTTTATATGCCAATTGCACCCCCACAACGCACTAAAATGGGTCCTCAATGTCGATTGGGAATTTACATTGGTTTTGATTCACCAACTATCATTCGCTATCTCGAACCTATGACAGGAGATACTTTTACAGCACGTTTTGCGGACTGTCACTATGATGAGACATTCTTCCTGCCGTTAGGGGGAG